TTTTTTTTGGGGGGGGGGGGGTCCTGATTATAACTATAGTATAATACACCCCCAAAACCCTATTCTAAACCCTAAACCCTAAACCCTAAACCATTCAGGCCCCTATATTACCCCAAGTTTCAAAAGCCTGAAGCCGCAGGACCCAAAGGGCCTGAACCCTAAAAGCCATAAGAGCCTCAAACCCCAGCAACAAACGGTTTAGGGTTTAGGGTTTAGGGTTTAGGGTTTAGGGTAACGGTTTAGGGTTTAGGGTTTAGGGTTTAGGGGCCGTCCGGTCCTCGCTTTTGCTGAGGCCACGCAGCGCAAGGATCACGAGAGCAGCCGTGAGCTGCTCTTGTGACATCCTGCGACTCTTGTTATTAGCCATCTTTCCGGCGGGGGGTTAACGGAGGCATGGGGCTAGATTCCCTTCGTTACGGGATCTCCTTATTATGGGAACTAAGTGAGCGCACTCTGTAGATAAGAGGATGTGGTAAGTAGCCGGAGTAGCCTATGGACCGGCTTGCTGGAGGCCAAATTCGCTTGTGTGATGGTCCTGAACCACAGCTTTACATCGAGTCGGTTACCGGTCCAGCTCCCGCACTGCGGCTCTTGCCCACAGAGCCCAAGGCCATCAAAGTAATTCAGAAACATATTATGTTCCTGAATTACATTGATGCCATTGGGCTCTGTGGGTCAGACCTTCTAGAGTACAATCTGAGTATATGTCTTAATGAAGTGGTATTGGACTTTCTAGCTACTCCTCAAAAAACAAAACCGCAAAAGCAGGCGCGGCGTCCTCTTGATGCCCAAGAAGTCCTGTATGGACCTTGGTTGCACAACAACTAAAACCAGCTGTCCCGGTAGAGTGTTCTAGCTTTAGACACGTCCTAAACTTCTTGGTCCAAAGAGGGCCATCCGTGGGCTTAGCTTAGGTATAGAAGCCCTATAAGGCTTGGCATGTGCGACTACATTGGGGAAAGTCAATATTTGTTGGCTTGCACGGCCTATGACCACGGCCGTCGCCGGTGACCACGGCCAAGAACCCAACACCCGAAGCACTATAATTCGTAAACACCATGCAAACCCTAACCTAAACCCTAAACCCTAAACCCTAAACCCTAAACCCTAAACCCTAAACCCTAAACCCCAAACCCCAAACCCCAAACCCTAAACCCGAACAAGAGTCCATGCCCTTCCCATCACTGAATCACAATACCTCGAAGCTCTTCCAAAGCCATCCCAAGCCCGGCCCAACCTCCGAAGACTCCGAGCCTTCCCTAAGCCCTTTTAGGGTTTAGGGTTTAGGGTTTAGGGTTTAGGGTTTAGGACCCCACACCCTTCTACCGAAACGAAATCTCTAAGTCAGTAAGTCTCAGCCCTTCAGAGACTCCGAAAGCACGTCGTTCTCGATATAAGATAAAGCCCCTTGGTTCATAGAACAGCTTAGAATAGGGTCTTGGCGTAAGTTGTTATACTAAAGTATAGAATCGGGACCATTAAGGAATAGTCTTGGTGATTATTCAAGCTTTAAAAATGATCCAGAGACCCCTATATTATTCAGCCAGGGTTTAGGGTTTAGGGTTTAGGGTTTAGGGATGATCCAGAGACCCCTATATTGTGTAGCCAGGCTGCCGGAACGTCCTCTCGACAAGCCGCGTCTCTGCCTTCTTCTGGCTCGCCACCATGCTTGTGTAGTCATCCTGGATTCAAATTCCCTGAACCCTAAACCCTAAACCCTAAACCGGATTCAGGTTTCAGAGTCGAGCCTCTAGGCTCAAGGCTTCATAGTGAAAGGCTTTTGGGGCCTCAAGAAGTGTAACGGGGTTTAGGGTTTAGGGTTAGGGTTTAGGGTTTAGGGCTTAGGGTTTAGGGTTTAGGGGACAGGGGCTTATATCCTAGTATAGTCTGGGCACTGTAAGGAGACGAAGACCATACTACTCATCATCCAATGAGTATGATTCCTTGTCGGTAAAACATGTAATGGAGGTATGTATGTACATACATGCATGCATACATGCATAATGAAATACTGTAAATGATACATACATAGATTATATATGTATATATATATATATACAGATGTACAGATGTGTATTCTTTGAAACTTTGTATATATGTATTCATGCATCTATATGTATGTATATATATATATACACACATATAAGACATACAACTGTAAAAGTAACGACACAAGGGCTCCACTCAAGTGACTCGATTTGTGACATCTAATACGATATGCTGAAATCCTATGAACGACCTCGTTTGAGCCGGCAGCCAAGAAAGATCTGCAAGACAGATTCCTGCGGGACTTCCCAATCTGAGATTCTGAGCCATGGGCAACACAGGGGCCTCAGGAAATCGAGAATAGGGTCTTGGGTTCTATGTGCCAGAAAACTCAGAGAAAAAATAGGGAACCCTCAAGGATGCCACGCAGATGAGTCCGACTTCGGAAAGTACGCAGGGATCCCTGTTGTACAGTATACTGTGCCCTAAACCCAAAGCCCTAGGATGAAAACCGTGATTCCTGAATGCTAAACCCAAAATTCAAAACCCTGGGACCAAGCCCTAAACCCCTAAAGCAAAAACCTGTAAAACCCTGAACCCCTAAACCCAAAACCCCTAAACCCTAAACGCAAAACCCCTAAAACCCTATACCCCTAAACCCTATAAACCCTAAACCCCTAAACCACAAACCCCTTATAAACCCCAAACCCCTAAACCCCAAACCCCTAACCCCTTATAAACCCCAAACCCCTAAACCCCAAACCCCTAAAACCCTAAACCCCTAAACCCAAAACCCCTAAACCCTAAATCCAAAACCCCTAAAACCCTAAACCCCTAAACCCAACACTCCTAAACCCAAAATCCCAGGACCACTCCTTGAGGATCCACACAGCACTGAGCATGGAGAGCATCGCGCGGTCTGCCTGTTCGTTAAAAATAAATTGGGTTTAGGGTTTTGGGTTTAGGGTGCAGGGTTTAGAGTTTAGGGTTTACCAGGGCTTAGAGTTTAGGGTTTAGGGCTTAGGGAGTTTTGGGTTAGGGTTTTGAGTTTAGGGCTCTATAGGGTGCACAAATTTCGGGCCGTGAAGAGTCAACCTGGCATCCTTCCCGCCTTCCTTTATCGGCTACTTGGACGGGTTTCTTTGGTCCTTTCGGTTTAGGGTTTGGGGTTTAGGGCTTAGGGTTTAGGGTCTTCTTATATTGCTGCTTTACCTTCTAGGCTCCACCAATGTAGTTCTCCCTAACCCTCCAGTTGCCTACTTTAAAAGGGCCCTAAGGGCTCTAGTACCCTCTAAAGTAGGTACCTGGAGGGTTCGGGTAAGGGTTCCTTTGGAATTGTCTGCACACCTTCCTTTAAGGGATCGTTGGAGGGTTCGTTCCTTCATGGGTTGTGTGCAAGGGCTCTGCAAGGGCTCGATGATGAGGGTTACGGTTTCAGGGTGAGAATAGAAGGCTAACTCGTCAGAATGAGTTGGGTAATGCAGGGGCCTTATTAATTAGAACAAGGTTTCGGGGTAGATTACTATACTATAGTTATAATAAGGAACCCCACAAAATAGTGTTGGTAATTATTTAGGCCCCGACATTACGCTATCGTAGGACTTGCAAGTGACTCAGACATCAAACCTTGGAGAATTTCAGGTTCGAGGGTTCGTCTAAAACACTCTGCAAGCGGTAACCTAACGAACCAGCTACTCCACTTTACGGCTTCGGTTTTCGGGTTTAGGGTTTAGGGCTACGGCTTAGGTTTTGGGGTTTATAGTCCCTTGATAAACGACGCATGAAAGCCCGTGCAGACGCGTCGTCAAGGCCTCGTCGTCGAACTGCAGTTGCGAATAGATTCCACCTGCCCCCCCCCTTTCTGGGATGCTTCTGGGCTAAACCCCTTTTAGCTCTAAGCAGTATTAACGTAGGAATCGTTCTACTGTTCAGGATTTTTTCGGGGCTTCAGGACATATATTCTAGTCCATTCCGTTCTGTTGCAGAATATTATACCTGAACCTACCAAAACCTATTTTTGTAGGTTCTTATTCTAAACCCTAGTACGGAATTTATAGGGACCCTACAAAGAAGTAAGTTTGGGTAGGTTAAGGTGGAGTGTAGAGGAAGCAAAGCACCTGCAGAGCAGGGGCTTTGTTCGCTAGCGCTTCGGTTTCGGGGTTTCCGTGTGGCAATGAATTTCCAGGCAAGCGTCGGGTTTAGGGTGTAGGATTTATAAAAGGTGTAGGGTTTAGGGTTTAGGGTGTAGGATCATAAAAGGTTTAGCGTTAACTGAACGTTGAAAGTCTAAACCCTAAACACCGATCCGTGAAACGTCATCCCCAAATCACTATTGGCCAAATATGGTTGGACAGAGCCTTGGTGCTCGGGTCTATATAAGTGCTCCTGAAACGAGATTGCAAGGTGCGCTAAGCCGGCCCCTAAACCCTGAACCCTAAACCGTGCCAGCCGGCCCCCAAACCCTGATCTTTAAATGGTCGCATGACAATTTACGAATCTCAGCTGCCGAAACTGGCAACCCTCGACCATGGGACGCAAGATCCTTGGCAGCGAGGCCCTCTTGCATTCCCATAGGCTCCATAGTAGTTCCTTTTGGGGATTACCTTACAGGATCCTGTTGTAAATATAAACCACGAAAGGAACTACAATCGAGCCTAAGGGTAAACATCGGGTTTGTCCTGCCTTGGAGATAATGCCCCACACCGTAGCCTCTTTACAAAATTCCCTGAAGAGGGTGCCAACAATCAAGGGGTCGACAAAGGAGTAACCCCTAAACCCTAAACCCTAAACCCTAAACCTTAAACCCTAAACCCTAAAACCTTAAACCCTAAACCCTAAACCCTAAACGCTTGCAAGCGTCTTTCTCGAAGTTCCGGAAACTGCTCCTTGATATTCTCGATGATGTCGTCATTCGAGAGCTCCTGGTCAAAGAGCGGTTTCGGGTTTAGAGGCATGTCAACAGTCTAGTGGGCAGCAGTGTTGAAATCATTATGCAGATGATAGGGAGCCTAGTAACAGGGTGTAAGCCCAGACGACCAGAAGTGCAGGTTGACTACCCCACATCATCCATTAAATGATGTAGACCTTGGATCACTTACGCCCTCCTTTCATAAGCATTCCACCTGCATACAAATAATTGCGTCAAAGGATGAGGGGTCTATACAACACACTAACGACCCTTTGCCTCCTCAGTCAAGCGAGGAGAAAGGCTTTTGCTCTTTAGGGTCTAGAGCGTAAATGTATGGCTTGACCTAAATCCTAAACTAAACCTTCAGGGCTCGTTCCAAGTCCAGACCGGAAGCCCAGAACCACCCTGAGCCCAGCCCCACGCGACATAATTCTTTCCGGGGCTTTAGTTGAAGAGGGTGCCGTTCCCAAGGCTTGGTACATTAAGCCACACTGAGCAGGCTATAATATCTTGCTGGAAACTTTCAAGGGCAAGCCGTGTACATCCCCACAAGCCGCAAGCCCATCACTTCATAAGTATGTACTCATAATAACACTGCATGGAGAAACGATCGTCGTATCAAGTTGCCACTTTGCATCGTCACGCCGAATTTACAAAACATAACAAACGAACATCTTATCCCAGATGAGACCTCTACCAACAAAAAAGAAGCTAAGGGTAAACAAACACGCAACTCCAATACTTAAAAACAGAACTAAAGCTGACCTCTGAACACGCTGAGCCGGTCCAAGTACCCGTACAGGGATCTGTATTGGCTATCGTGAAGTCAGCACCAGACAGCTTCTGGGATGTCGGGGTGCAGATTCGTGTCTTCCATACTCCCTGAATCCAAAACATTCTCTGTCGAAGAACCTTGCGCAAAATAACAAAAAACCCAACCCCTAAACCCTAAACTCAAAACCACCTCGAAGGGCCCTTTCCTGGCCTTGCGAACCAAAGTAGCCACAGCGCCAGAAAAGTCTAATTCCTGGCAGAGGGAGCATCGTTGGGTTCAGCTTTAGGGATTCAAGGCTTAAGGTTTTAGGGCATAGGCTGTTTGGGGTTCAGGGTCTACGGGGTCCTTCAAGGGTGCTATAAGGACCAAACTCAACATCAAGAGCAGAACGACATAATGCAGAAGCCATAATAACAAGAAATAATAATGCGGTTCCTTCAAGTTTTCGGTTATACATCTACAACAACGTACTCCAAAACCCGAATTTGTTTTTTCCGACTACTCTGATTATGAAGAAGTCAATGAAGGAATCAGCTCTAAAGACCATCAATAGAGCCTGCAACATTGATACTATAGCAGAAATGCTGAAAAGAAGAACCCAACACACCCCGAAACCGCTACACCCAAATTCAAAGCCTTGCCAAAGACTAAAACACCGACACAAAAACCCTACCCAGCTAAAAACCCTACAAACGAACACAATCTCAAAACCTATGCAGCCCCAAAGGCCCCACCCCCAAAACCCTAAACCCCACACCCCGAGGCCCCAAACCCCCAAGAACGCCGGAACTCAAATAGGCCCCGGTGCTCTTTGAGTTGATTATAACCCTAAACCCTAAACCCTAAACCCTAAACCCTAAATCCTAAACCCTAAAACCCTATGGAGCCTCAAGGCTCCCACCCCCCCCCAAAAAACCCCAAACCCGCCACCCCTAAACCCTAAACCCCAAACACCTAAAAAGCCCCCAAACCCTGCACAGCCTAGATACTACTAAAAAGCCGAAACCCAAAACCCTAAACCCCAAACCCAGAAAACAAAAAAAACCTAGAAATCCAGAACCCTAAACCCTAAACCCTAAACCCTAAACCCTAAACCCCAAACCTCCCCAAACCCTGCCTCGCTGCTCTTGAACTGATTCATTCGCCCGGTCCCCGGCTCGAGGAGGTCGGAAAGCTGGGTGTGCTGAACTGCCACCTCCTGGGCGCGGTGGCTGGTTTTTTAGTTTAGGGCTCAGGGTTACAAGGCTGAACTGCCACCTCCTGTTCAGGGTTACAGGGTTATAGGGTTTAGGGTTTAGGGTTTTAAATTTCAGGGTTTAGGGTTGAGGGTTTAAGGTTCAGGGTTACAGGGTTTTTGGGTTTAGGGTTTTAGGGTTTAGGGTTATTGGGTCTTTAGGGTTTTAGGGTTCAGGGTTTTAGGGTTCCACCTCCTGGGCTCGGGTTTGGTTTTTTGGTTTTAGGGTTTAGGGTTATAGGGTTCAGGGTTAGAGAGATATAGGGTTTAGGGTTATAGGGTTCAGGGTTAGAGGGTTATAGGGTTTAGGGTTATAGGGTTCAGGGTTAAAGGGATATAGGGTGTAGGGTGCAGGGTTATGGGCCGAACTGCCACCTCCTGGGCTCCGGTGGCTGCTTTAGGCTTTAGGGTTTAGGGTTCATGGTTACAGGGTTACAGGGTTTAGGGTTTAGGGTTCAGGGTTCAGGGTTAGAGGGACATAGGGTTTAGGGTTTAGGGCTCAGCAGCTTAAATTCAAGTTACCATAATGGGAATCTGCACAGGTTTCTGTAGGGTCTAGGGTTTAGGGGTGTACATTACCATACTGGGATAAATAGTAAAGAGCAGGGTTTCCTTATTGGCGCAGGGTTTACGGGTTTCAACTCAACCTCCTGCGAAGTGATGGCTTTCTAGGATTGCAATGCGTGGTCATCACCGGCGGATGCTGTGCTTCTCCTGAGGGGTCTCGAACTGTTTTGACTCGCGATTGTGTAGGATGATTCTGCTGACTTAGCTTCTCTTGACGTTGCTACTGCTTGTCTTACTGTTCTCGTTAATAACCTTGCTGCGCTTCTGCTTGTCGTGTTGCTGCAGTTAGTCCCCGAACCCTGCAAGTGCAACTACACACAAGCCGTAAATGCGCAACCCCAAACCCTGAATCCTCCACCTTCACAGCTCTAACCCGTGAAAGTATGCTTCTATGGCACGAAACCTTAAACCCTAAACCCTGATCATGAGGGCCCCATATCCCTAGTCTCTAGTTGCTTCGGTCCGAGAGGCTGTCACGTCTTCCGACATCATCTCCCAACCCATCGTCTCCTTCTGCTTTGCCTGCTTCTTATTGGGTCCAGGGACTTTGGGTTTAGGGTTTAGGGTGGGGTGCCCAGTATCACATACATATGTGCGGCTGAGGGTTTAGGGTTTAGGGTTTTTCAGGACTGGGGGTGTCGGGTTCTGAAGTTTAGGGTGTCCTGTTTCCTACGGTTGGTGATGATATAAATCCGGCATTACGTCCTTAAGGTAACTCTAAACCCTAAAACCCCTGTTTAGGGCCCTTAAGGTAATGCAGGAGTTAAATCATCAACTATAGTATGCAGCCCCTAAACCCTAAACCCTAAACCCTAAACCCCTAAACCCTAAACCCTAAACCCTAAACCCTAAACCCTAAACCATAACGAAAGGCCAAACGGGTACTTCGGGACCCGGGGTTTGGTCCCTCAGGATTTCGCATCTGGGCGGTTTTGAGGACTTGATTAGGGTTTAGGGTTTAGGGAAGGGTTTAGGGTTTAGGGTTTAGGGTTTTGGGTTTAGGGTTTAGGGTTTTAAATTTCAGGGTTTAGGGTTGAGGGTTTAGGGTTTAGGGTTTAGGGTTTAGGGGTTTAGGGCTTAGGGTTTAGTGTTGAGGGGTTTGGGGGTTGAGTGTTAAGACCTGGCCCCAAGCCGTGACCATCGGAGTCTCGGCATCCATAAACTTGCCGTAAACCCAGAACCCTCATCCCTAAACCCTAAACCCCAATCCCTAAACCCAGCCCTCAACCGGGAGACTGTGACCCCGATGTAAAGAAACTCCCTCCGCAACCTTGCAAGTCCGCGATCCCACAAGCCCCTGCGAAACCTATAGCACACCTAAAAACATGTAAAGACTTCATGAAAGAATAAACAAAGCTCTATGAAACCCTCAAGCTCTATGAAACTTGAAACAATTCAACAAGCCTACAACACCTACAAAACCCTATAAAACGGCCCAGACAAAAAAATAAAAATGTATGACATCTCAACAACCTTTCCACCAATCCCATGTAGCCCCAAAGCTCTACAAAGCCCCTAGAAGTCTTCAACCCTAAACCCTAAACCCTAAACCCTAAACCCTAAACCCTCAAGCCGAAGGGCATAAAGGTTCAGGAGTCGCGTCGCGTACTCGTGCACGGCGACCTGGATGGCAGTTGAGGGGTTTTAGGGTTTAGGGCTTGGGGTCGGTTTAGGGTTTGAGGTTGAAGGGCCCAGGGTTTAAGGGTTTAGGCTTCAGGGGTTTAAGGGTTTAGGGCTTGAGGGTTTAAGGGTTTAGGGTTTAGGGTTTAGGGGTTTAGGGGTTTTTTAGGGCTTAAGGTTTATAGAGCTTATAAGGGATTAAGGTCTAGGGTTTAGGGTTCAAACCTTAAACGCATGCAGTATTGAAAGTTCTGGGAGTACCTGCAGCCCCAGAAACCGACCTTTATAAGGAAGTATATAATCATATATAGAAACCAAAACCGTAAACCCTAAACCCTAAACCCTGAAAAAGGCTGTTTTTTTGGGGCTTTGGCTAAACCCACTTCAGGCTTTATAGCAGGTTCGGCGTTTGAGATCTCGGATTTCAGGTTTAGGACATCCGCCCGCTAAAGCTCTGGGGCTTTCTTGGACTCTAGGCGTTTCGGGTTTAGGGCTCTTGAAATTCAGGGTTTGAGGGTTCAGGGTTCAGGGTTTAGGGTTTAGGGTTTAGGGGTTAGGGTTTAGGGCTCTTAACATTCAAAGGTTTTGGGTTAAGGAGTTCGGGTTTGCGGATTATATATACGGTTTAGGGTTGAGGTCAGATACTCCTCATCGTGGGGTACATGTTTATGGCCTGACAGAGGTACTTGCAGCGGCCGCGTTGAAGCTTCAGATTAAACGCACAACTGCTCATGCAAACCCTGAACCTTAAATCCCAAATCCTGAACCTCTGACACTTATGATGAGTTTTATGAGATAAACGATGTATTTTTTGTTTAAAAATGAAAACCATAAGGGATTACACAATTAATGACATACAAACACTGAACCCCGAACACCAAAACCCTGAACCCCAAACTCTGATCCCTAAACCCCAACTGTGAACCCTGAACCCTTTAACCCCCAGATCCTAATGCCCTGAAGCCCTGAACCTCTAAACCCTAAACCCTAATCCCCAAGACCCTAGTACCCTAAAGCCCTAAACCCCCTAAAACCCTAAACCCTGAACCCTACCAAAAACCAGCGCCAAATCCTGGCCTCGAGTACACGGTTTGGGGCTCCTTTAAGGGTTTCCAGAAGATTGTTGGGGGTCCTTTGAGGGTTCTGAGCCAGACGTTAGTGCATTAGGAAGCTTGGGGTTTGTTATGGCGTAGTTGATATGATTTGGGGCCGATAGGGGATGTTTTGTTGACCCGAGCCTAAATCTAGGACATTTTCAGGTGGGTAGTTGCCGTTATAGGAGCCTTATAGAAGATCTATATACCTTGTGAAAGCCTTATAAAAGCCCTAAAATACCCTAAACTCCCCACCTGTAGTTTCCTTTAACTAAACCTGTTCACCAACTACACCCCGAAACCCCCAAACCCTAAACCCCAAAACCCCTATACCCCTAGGATCTATGAGGGCTTTGCGGGAGCCACGGTCTGGAAAGGGGACATTGCCAAGTGGCCACGGCGGCAGGGGAACCCTGGACCGCATTAACAAACTCCAGCACCGGCGCCGTCAGGATCTTGGAATAGTTCCTGGGTTTAGGGTTTAGGGT